TAATTTAAGCTTGAAATGCCGAAGTTTGGATTTTTGAAGTTTCCGGTCCAATAGTGAGTTTTTGATCCGAGGGTTGGATTTGAATTCCGGAAGTTGCTGTAGCTCCGTCATGTCATTTGGGATGTGTGTGCAAAATTTCAGGTCATTCGGACGAGGTTTGGTTAGGTTTTTGATCGAAAGCGTATTTGGTTAGAATTTGAAGTTCTTAGGCTTGAATCCTTGATTTAATCGGGTTTCCGGTGTTGTTTGAGGTGTTTTGAGGATTGGTGCAAGTTCGAATAAGGTATTAGGTGGTATTGGTGCTTTTGGTTGAGGCCCCGGGGGCCTCGGGATGATTTTGGGCGGTTAACGGGGAAATTTTCTAAGTTGTTGCAGCTGGTATGTTTTCCCTTCTGGTATTTTTGCTTCTGCGGTTTGGGAACTGCAGAAGCGGAGCCGCAGAAGCGGCTTCCTCATCGCAGAAGCGATTTGTTTGGCTTCCCCTCAGAGACCGCAGAAGCGGTCATCTTTCCGCAAAAGCGGAACCGCTGGAGCGGTCATGTGTCCGCAAAAGCGGAATTTACCCCTTTAATGAGAAACCGCAGAAGCGGTTATTTTGCCGCTTAAGCGGGACCGCAAAAGCGGTCCCTTGTCCGCAGAAGCGGAAATGTCTGGGCAGAAATAGGAAATTTCGAGGGTTTAATTTCATAAGTTTGAAAATCAATTTTGAGCTCGGGCAAGGGCGATTCTGAGAGGATTTCGGAGAGGAGATTATTGGGTAACATTTCTATGATCCTTTCTAGTTATATTCTATCTTTTAGTAGTTAAATCCACCTTTTAAATTCGAATTAAGGATCAAAAATGGAAGAATTTGGGTGAAAGTTCATTGACTAAACTATTGACTTTTGAGGGAGCATTCGACCTCCGATTTCTGAGATTTTTATATGGTTAGACTCGTGAGAGTACGAGGTTTATGAAAATGTAAAAATTAATCGATTCCGAGACGTTGGCCTGAGGGGCGTTTTGGTCATTTTGCCTAAATTCGCGCTTTAGCTTTGAATTAAATAGTAGGATTAGTTGCTTGAGATGTTATTTACAATGTGTGATTTGATTGAATAGATTTGGGCCATTTGGAGTTGAGTACTCGTGGCAAGAACGTGGTTGCTAGTTGATTTTAGCCGGTTCGAGGTAAGTATCTTGCCTAACCTTGTGTAGGGGACTTCCCCTTAGTATTGAGTCTTCCTTGTTGATTGTATTCCCTGTACGCGAGGTGACGAGTGCGTGCTCGGATTTATTTATGGAAAATTGCCCTTTTAGGCTCTTAGGTACTTGTAATCACCGAATATGAAGTTGTTCTGGATACGATTGAGTTCCCTGTTATTAGTTCCACCTCTACACGACTTACTTAGAATTTATCTGCCCTTTTTGGTTATTCTTGTTGCCTAAATGACTTTTACTTGTTTAACTGTAGACATTTGCCTTCTGTAGTCACATTATCATTCCTAACTGCTTGTCTTTATCTGGAAAGCATTATTTCTATCTCTCGTGTAATTAATTGGTCTTAATTGGAAAGAAGTTGGATATCCTATGTTTAGTCGATACTTCCTTAATTGTAATTATTTGATCCATGTTAACTTCCTTGTTGTAGAACTGAGTATTATGGAATCGTTGTTTCGTATCATTTCTCCCTTGTTGAGTTGTCCTTATTGCGCTTAGTATTTCCCTGTTACATTTATTTCCTTGTACGTTAGTTGTACCGTCTTTTGGTGAACGGAATCTCTTGAGTTGATTCTCTTGCTTTGTTCCTGTATATATTATCTCATTTGTTGATAGTTGATATTGTGATGCACGAGGTTTCTGCCGTGCGGTTGTTGATATTGTGATGCACGAGGTTTCTGCCGTGCGGTGGTTGGTATTGTGATGCACGAGGTTTCTGCCGTGCGGTTGTTGGTATAGTGATGCACGAGGTTTCTGCCGTGCGGTTGTTGGTGAAGTGATGCACGAGGTCTTTGCCGTGCTATTGTTGTTATTGATGTTTTGCACATGCGGCGTAATAAGGCGGGATATGTTATATGCTTATATGTGGGTTGCGCATGTGGCGGAATAAGGTGGGAACATTGTGATGCACGTGTGGCGAAATAAGGCGGTGCTTATTGTGTTATTAGTTGCACACGTGGCGAAATAAGGTGGGCTATGTCAGGGGATGATTGTAGAGAATTGTGACGGCCTGTGGAGGCATCCCTATTTGTTTAATAATGTGATTGTGGGTTGCTTACCGGTATGAGCTTTATCGCTTGGAAGTTGTGAGGAAACATTCATACGTGCGGTCCGTTCTTCTTTTCATGTTTTCTCTGGTTGGTAGAATTCTTGTTAAAAACACTTGCACAAGCATATACGTAGCTGAACACTCCTTTTAGAGATGAATTCCTCCTGATTTTGCTAAGGGTGGAGGTACGCCCTCGTTTATCGATTATATTTGTGAGAGTGGCCCTAGTTAGCCAGTTAGTTGTCGGTATGACCATGAGATTGATGGGGCATAGGATGCCAATTGTTAGATTTCAGATGCTGGGTCTTCGCGAGTTGTGGTTTGTCCGAGACTTGGCGAAATTGTGGAAGAGTTGGATAAGACCTTTGTGAACATCATTGTAGGATATGAGTTATTGACTTGTTTTCCCATTTCTGTGTTGTGACCTTAGGATTTGGATTGTGATTCTGCCGTCATTTTCTATCCTCATTTATTATATTCTCGTTGTTACTTGTTGTATTTTTCCCTTATTGTGATTTGTAGCATTCTTGGTCATTCATGCAGTCTTTACATAATTATATGTCATTTCCATTATTCCTATGATTATACTGTTTATTGACCGGTAGGTGCCTTGACTGTTCCTCGTCACTACTCCACCGAGGTTAGTCTTGATACTTACTGGGCACCGCCGTGGTGTGCTCATGCTACTCTTCTGCACATTTTTATTGTGCAGATACAGGTACTCCACTCAGTTCTGTCAGCCTTGGAAGGAGGCGTATCGGTAGAGACTTCGAGGTATATCTGCTACGTCCGCAGACCGAGGAGTCCCTTTCCAGCTTTCTGTAATAAGTATAGCAATTTCAGTATTTCTCCTTTGTATAGATATTCTTGAGTCAGAGCCTCTTTTGTATCCCTTAGCTTGTGATTTGTGAGTTTCCGGGTTTTGGGAATTGTTCTAGACTTGTGATGTTGAGTTGTACTTGCCATGCGGCATTCAGTACAGTTTCCTTCAGATATTTGATTTGATTTTCTCTATTTTTTTCCGCAATTATTACATTTCCGCAAGTGTTAGGCTTACCTGGTCATGGGGACCAGGTGCCGTCATGACATGTTCACAGTTGATGAACTAGGGTCGTGACATTCTCCCTTTATACTTCGCAACGTGATCCACCTTCTTGGATTTTTTAATCTTTGCTTAATAGGATTCAATCTCCTAAATTACCATATATCATGGTTCTATTCTATTTCTTTGTGGTTGTCTCGTTCTCAGTTCATAAGCCTACGTTGAGAAACAGAAAATTGGTGCTTTTTCCTTTGTTAAATTGCTATATATTGGTTAGATAATGAATAGTTATATTTGTATATGGTTTTTGAACAATTCTCGCCTTGTTCGTCCGAACAGAGGCGGATCCAAGATTTGATGACTACAGGTGCTACTATTTGAATGCAAACTTATTACTAGCGAACTAGATTGAATTAGGGTACATTTAGTCAATTCGACCTGTTTTGAATTAATTCGGTTCAATTCAGTTCGACCATTTTGAATTAATTTAGTTCAATGTACAAGAATTTTGGTGCATAAATAAAGTGATCAACAAACTGAATAAGTTTTGTCCAATGCAATCTAATTTTCTCGATTCAAATTCTTAACAGTACGATGAAAAATAAATATAAAAATAAAAATTTAAAATAAACAAATACACCACTTCAATCTCCATATAGCTAGACTAATATTATTGTTGAAAAGAGCAGTAATAGCAATACTTGTACATAGGCTGTTGGAGTTGCACATATTAGTTTGGAGTTAGTTAGTTTTACATGTACAGTTAGTTGAGTAATTAAGCTAATTAATTTGTATTAAGTGAGTAGGTAGTATAAATAAGGATAGACACACACGTGTATATTGAGGCTTTTATTTTTCTGAATAACAAAACAGAGAATTCTCTCTTTCTTCTCTCTATTCCTCTGCAACCGTCTTCTTCGATCAATTCAACTCAAAATGTTTCCTTTCAATAAGGTATCAAAGCCATAGATTCATGGCATTTTCGAGCTGAATTATTGTGAAATTGGTGACTATTGTTGAAGAATCAACTCTATTTTGTTGAAAATTTGAGAGAATTGAAGCATTGATTCAGATTAGCCCTAGAATTTCATGATCGGTGTGCGAGAGGTTGCTTTGCCCTAAAATCCAGTAGCTTTTACAATCGGAGGGCTTGGCTCATTCCTAATTTCACATTAAGGTGAGTTTTGATTTCAAATTGCCGAGAAATTGATAGTTAAAATGCAGGAATCTGGAGAAACTGAGACGAGCAATGGAGAGAAGTTCACAGATATTCATCCTAGGCATCCTCTTTACCTGTATCAATCGGATAGTCCATTTAGTGTTATAGTTCCACATCAATTAACAGGAATTGAAAATTGTACACCATAGAGCAATTCTATGAAGGTTGCGTTATTGGCGAAGAACAAATTAGGTTTCATAGATGGAACATGTTGCAAAGAACATTATAAAGGCGACTTAGAACATGAATGGGAACGGTGTAATGCTTTCGTTCTGTTATGGATCACTAATTCTGTATCAAAAGAGTTAGCAAATGGAATGATGTATTCAACTAATGCTACAAGTGTTTGGATGGACCTTAAGGAACGATTTGACAAGAAAAATTTGACTAGAATCTATCAATTGCTCCGTGAAATCTGCACCATAAGTTAGGGCACATCATTAGTATCGGAGTATTACTCAAAATTGAAGAGTGTTTGGGATGATTATTGGTCCATGGTACCTTTTCCATGTGACTGTGCAAAGCATAAAGAGTATGCAGAACATATGGAACAACAGAGACTTGTACAGTTTCTAATGAGATTAAACGAAACATATGCCAAAACTAGGAGTCAGGTGTTGCTAACAGTCCCTGTTCCAACCCTCAATCAAGCCTACAATATGATAATGTAGGATGAAAGCCAAAGGATTCAGTCCAATATGATATCACAACTTACACCAACAGTACAACAGACAAACTTGAATGATCTTACTGCTCTAGCTGCCACACAAAATAACAGGTTCAAAAAAAATAATGGACATTACTGTGATTACTGTAATATGAAAGAGCACAGGAGAGAAAACTGCTACAAGTTGGTGGGAGATCCATCCAATCACAAATTCAACAAAAGTAGAACCTATGATAGGTCACAAAGTTCAAGAGATAACAAAGGACATTCAACTAATAGTGTCAGTCATGGACATTCAGCTAATAGTGTCAGTCATGTTGAAGAACCAGAAGCAAGTGGATCATCAGGGATTAGCAACATGCCATTGTTCACCTCAGAGCAATATAATCAGCTTTTGAAATTGAATAACCATGAACCAGCAGTTGCACAAGCCAAGGTTAACATGGCAGGTGTAAAAGAATTTCTTGACACTTGTTTGCTTGCAGGTTCTGAACCTAACTCCTGGATAATTGACACTGGGGCCTCAAACCATATGGCTTCTAGCCTGGATTTTTTAACTCAATCTGCTCCTGTGTTTCCCTGAATTTTGCATTTTTCAGGACCTTTGCACTGGCAAGGTGAGGGGGATTGATAAGGAGAAGGATGGCCTCTACATACTTCAACCTGCCAAGAAGCCATCACCTGTCAAAGCACCTGAGCAATCACCAGCCATAGCATTCAATACAACAATATCTACTACAAATTTCTGTCCTGTTGCCTCTCCTATTTCAGTTCCTGCTGCTTCTCCTGTTTCAGTTCCAGCCCCTACTCCAGTATCTGCTTGCTCTCCATCAAAGCATTCAGATCAGTGCTCTATATGGCACCAAAGACCTGGACATGCCCCATTAGCAGTCCTACAGAAAATTCAACTTCTAAAAGACCATGACTTGAATATAGAGCAGTTGTCTTGCACTATCTGTCCTTTTAGCAAGGTAGACTAAGATCCCCTTTCCTACTAGTCATAATAAAACTGTAACCCCTTTCGAACATGTACATATGGATGTATGGGGTCCGTATAGACAATGCACTTACAATGGATATAGATATTTTCTTACCATTGTAGACGATTATTCTAGGATGATTTGGATCTACTTGATGAGAATGAAAAGTGATGTGTTCTTGTTAATCAAGTCTTTTATTGCACTTGTTAAGACTTAGTTTTCTGCTTCTATCAAGACTATTAGGTCTGATAATGGTCTTAAATTTTTTAATGCTCAATGTGCAACTCTTTTCACTTCTCTTGGGATTGTCCATCAAAGTTCTTGTGTGCACACTCCACAACAAAATGGAGTGGCTGAACGAAAGCACAGGCATCTACTTGAAATGGCTAGAGCCCTTAGGTTTCAAGCCTATGTCCCCTTGAAATTCTGGGGAGAATGTGTTCTTACAGCTGCCTTCATCGTTAACAGATTGCCTTCTTCAGTTCTTTCAGGGAAATCTCCTTATGAACCATTTCATGGTCAACCACCTTCACTTACTCACCTTAAAGTGTTTGGTTGTTTGTGTTATGAAACCAAACCATGCTTCACAGACAAGTTCTCTTCTAAAGCCATTCCTGCCATCTTCATGGGTTACTCAAAGACTCAAAAAGGGTATAAACTATACAACATTTCTTCAGGAACCTTTTTAGTCAGTAGAGATGTCTGTTTTAGAGAAACCACATTTCCTTTTAGACCTCCCAAGTCCGCATTTCTACAGTCACATTTTCCTAACTCAACTCTTACCTTTCCTAGTCCAGCTTCTATTCCTTCTTATGATGATACATTTCTTGCCAGGGATGATGTACCATCATATTCACCTCCAACTTCTGTTCTAACTCCAGAACCCCTTACTGCACAACCAGAACCCTCTAGTCCACAACCACCTTCATCTCTTATTATGCAACCTAATATTACTACCTCACCACCTTCTCCCATTGAGCCACAACCCACTCACATTTTTGATACCACACTGAGGAAGTCTGCCAGAACATCTAATCCTCCCTTATGGTTAACTGATTATGTGCATCAAGTCAAGTCTACTTCTACTCCTTATCCCATTTCTTCCTCCCTGAAATACTATTCTTCATTACCTTCTTATCAAGCCTGTCTCACTTCTTATTCTTCCATTGTTGAACCTACAACCTTTGAAAAGGTTGCTAAAGACAGCAATTGGGTACAAGCTATGGAGCTTGAGGTTCAGGCCCTCACTGACAATAACACCTGGGAGTTGGTAGATTTACCTGCAGGCAGGACTCTAATTGGTTGCAAATGGGTTTATAAGGTGAAGTACAAAGGCTGATGGGACTGTGGAAAGATACAAAGCTCGATCAGTTGCTAAGGGGTTCACTCAACAAGAGGATTTGGATTACCATGAGACCTTCTCACCTGTGGTGAAGATGGTCACAGTCAGGAGTGTTGTTGCTCTAGCTGCTCAGTATGGTTGGCCTTTGCTTCAGATGGATGTGTACAATGCTTTCCTGCAGGGTGACCATTCAGAAGAAGTTTATATGTCATTGCCTCAAGGGTTTGGTAGTTAGGGAGAGACTAGGGTGTGTAGACTACTCAAATCCCTCTATGGCTTATAACAGGCTAGCAGACAATGGAATTTAAAGCTCACCTCAGCTCTCACAGGGTCTGGTTTCAAACAAAGCAAATTGGATCATTCACTATTCACTAAGAAACTGGGAATGCCATAGTTATTATATTGGTTTATGTTGACGATCTTTTGATCACAGGAAATGATAAGTTCTTAATTCAAGAAGCCAAAGATATATTGAATCATAATTTCAAGATGAAGGATTTGGGAGAGCTAAAGTTTTTCCTTGGTATTGAATTTGCAAGATTACACAAGGGAATCCTCATGAACTAAAGGAAGTATGCATTGGAGCTTGTGTCAAAATGTGGCCTAGGCAGAGCAAAACCAAGCATTTCCCCTTTGGATCAGAACATGAAACTTACTAGTGCAGAATATGAAAAGCTTTTTGGTATGCGAGGACATGATACAGAACTTGAAGACATCAGAGTGTATCAGAGGCTTATAGGGAGACTCTTGTATTTGGCAATCACAAGGCCAGATATTTCATATGCAGTCCAAGTTCTCAGTCAGTTTATGAATGCACTAAAACAGTCCCATTATGATGCAGCATTGAGGGTAGTGAAATACATCAAGAATTGTCCAGGACAAGGTTTGTTGATGAGTAGCAAACAGAGTAGGAAGGTGTTTGCATTATGTGATGCAGACTGGGCATCATGCTCAGTGACTAGGAAGCATATTACAGGCTTTTGCATAAAACCTGGAGACTCCATGATCTCCTGGAAATCCAAGAAATCGAGTACAGTTTCAAGAAGCTCAGCAGAGGTTGAGTACAGAAGCATGGCAAGCATTATGGTTGAGCTAACTTGGATACATGGGTTGCCGGAAGAATTAGGAATGCAAGTTTATTTGCCCAAGGAGTTGTATTGTGACAACAAAGTAGCCATACAGATTGCTTCAAATCCAATGTATCACGAGGGCACAAAGGACATAGAGATTGACTGCCACTTTATTCGAGAAAAGCTACAACAGGGCATGATTAAAGCTCCTTATGTTCCCAGTAAGGATCAAATTGCAGATATACTAACCAAGGCACTTGGAAAACAGCTATATAGTGAGATGGTTTGCAAGTTGGGGATGATCAATATTTTTTCATCACCCAATTTGAGGGGGAGTGTTGAAAAGAGCAGTAGTAGCAATACTTGTACATAGGTTGTTGGAGTTGTACATATTACTTTGTAGTTAGTTAGTTTTACATGTATAGTTAGTTGAGTAGTTAAGCTAATTAATTTGTATTAAGAGTAGGTATTATAAATAAGGATAGACACACACGTGTATATTGAGGCTTTTATTTTTCTGAATAACAAAACAGAGAATTCTCTCTTTCTTCTCTCTCTTCCTCTGCACCCGTCTTCTTCGATCAATTCAGCTCAAAATGTTTCCTTTCACTAATTATCTTTGTTGATATATCATTCTAAAAAAAATTGAAAATCAAGAAAACAATAATATATTAAACAGATACGAAGAGAAAATGATTAAAATCATATTCAAATAAAGATCTAGAAAAACAAAAAGGAAGCAAATATATAATTTAATAAATAATAGAAATGGTACAAAGATAGAGGGAATGCAAAGGTGAAGAGTGAAGAATTAAATTAAAAGAAATAAAGAAAAGGAGCAGAAAAAAAAACAAAGATAAGAAAACAAGGAGAAACTAGCTTGAAAATGCTGGCATCGAGTATGTGGCCTATATTTTGGAGTTGGAAAGTTGACACTTTAACCATGGCACCTAAAGTGGATTTGTGACTTGTGGTTGCCATCTTTTAGTTATATCTGTTTAAAATATATGAAATTTACCATGAGAATACAGGTGGCGTGCCATCCCAATGCCCTACATAAATCGGCCCTTGAGTCCGAACGTGCAAAAGGCATTAAAAGTGTTTTATATTGGTGGAGTGAATGAGTTATTATCTTCTTATATGATGGTAAACTAAGGGTGGCAAGTGGACTGGTTAGGCCCGGCCTAGGCCCGCGAGCCCATATGGGTAGTGGGCCTAAACGGGCCTACCCGTTTAAGCCCGGGACCAAGGGGGTTGAGGCCCAAGTGGGCCGGTTCAAAGAATATGCCCGTTAGGATCGGGACCGTTTGGGCCCGGGACCGGCTCCTAAACGGGCCGGTTCAACCGGTCCTAACGGGTCCCAAACGGTCCTAAACGGGCCCAATGGCTAAATTAAAAAAAATTCTCTTTTAAAAATCTGGCCGTTGCATCTTTAAAAAATAATCGTTATGGCTGCCAAAATAGCCGTGGGCTATTTATAAAATAGCCATTAACCCCCCCCCCCTCCCCCAACTTTGTTTTAACCCCAAACTTTTTATAATTACACTTTTTGCCAATTTTCAATTATAAATACCCCCTCATTCTTTCATTTTTCTTCACCAAATCATCAATCTCTCTCAATCTCTTTCGATATCTCTCTAATTTTCATCTAAAATTGGTTACTTTGTTGTTGCAACTTGTGTGAAAAATTGTGAAGTTGGTGAATTGAAGTATTCAAGTCTTCAACGATAATTAATTTCAACAAGTTGTTCGTCAATTAGGTAAACTCGTTACAACTCTTTAGTTTTAATATTATATTTTTGTTTGTTTTAGTTAATTACTTTGTATAATTATAATTAAGATGGCATATTCCTTAAAAAAATAATTTAGTAAAAATAAGGGAAAATCCAAGAGTGGTGAATCTAGTGGCCAATTTATTCCTTCTCTAATTCCCCGGCCTCCCCTACCCAAACCCCATACCCGCCCTCCACCTGCTTCTATTCTTGATAGTGATAATACTTTATTACAATTTACGGAGAGTCAATATGTGCATAATGTTGGTTGTGGTGAACGCTAGATGATGAATATATGAACAACCTTTATGGTAATCCAACTGTAGATGAAGAAGATGAGAAGGAAATAGATTTAGATGAAACGCAACCGGATGATGATACACCCACTAGTCCCGTTACTCAAGTTAATCCAACTAATCCAAATGATGCCCCGGTTGACCTCCCTATTACTACCCCTACTTTTTCTAGACAACCTTCTAAACGGGCCGAAACATCTCTTGTTTGGCTATTTTTTATTCAAATAAGAGAAAAAAATAAAGCTAAGTGTAAAACTTGTGGCAAAGAGTTAGCCTTTAACTATGTTGAGCGGGGGGGGGGGGGGAGACAAGAAGTTTGAGGAGACACATAATGATACACCCTCAAGACAAAGCTAAATTTTTTTAAATGAAAGTTGCGGCTGGGGGGCAAGTCCAACTAGTCAGCCTGACCCTAGTACCGGGTCAAATCAATTTCAACCGGGAATTAACACTGTTACCGGTGGTATTTTATATTATGACCCGAGAAAAGATAGGGAAGAATTGGCAAAATGGTTACTGTTATGTGCTTACCCTACAATTTTCCGTCTAACCCTCACTTTGTGCATTATATTAGAAAAGTTTTTAATCCTACTTATAAAGGATGGCCTCGCACAACCGTAAAGAGCGATATTTATAAATATAAACATGAATATGAATAATATTTGCGCTATTTATTTACTCATATTAATTGTCGCGTTGCTATTACCACTGATATTGGTATAAGTAGTAATGACTGTGATTATCTTTCTGTTAAAAGTCATTGGATTGATGAGGACTGGATAATGCAAAAGCGCATTATTGCTTATAGAATAATTAATTCACGTCACATAGGGGCAGTTTATTTCTAGCACTGTTACGGATATTTGTAGATATTTTTGCATTAGTGATAAAATAATGTCAATTTCAATGGATAATGCTACTAGTAACACTAATGTTGTAGCCTTGCTTACCACTACACAAAATCCTGCATTTAGTAACATTTTTCATGTTAATGTATTTGTCATATTTACCATTTAATTGTGGGTGATGGTATGAGAATTTTAAATGTTGAAATTGAAAAGGTTAAAATGGCTCTTAACTAGCTTTTTTATTCAAACCGTAGAAGTAGACTTAGAGAATATTTTAAAAGATGCGATGAATTTGGCCTAAGAGAAAGAAAGGTTCCTAAAGCTTGTCCAACTAGATGGAATTACATGTATGAAAGTTTAGTTGTTGCATATGAATATAGAAACCCCATAAACTCAACGTTTAATGCTCATGTAAGTGATGATGATGAGCACCTCACAAATGCGGATTGGGCTAATGTTAAAATGCTTGTAGATTTTTTAGAAAGCTTTCATGTTGCTACAAATGAATTTTCTGGGCAATATTATCCTACTATTTCGAACTGTTTAGTTTATCTTGCAGATCTTGCAAATTTGATTGCTCAATTTTCAGAGGGTGGGGAAATTTATGAAGTAGCTATTGATTCTATGAGAAAGAAATTTAAAAAATATTTTTTCCCTATTCCCATTATTTATGTTATTGCTGCCTTGTTAAATCCTACTATGAAATTAGGTGGTCCTCAATATTGGTATCGATCTATTTATAATGGTTTAACACTTGCACCTGAGGAGTTCTCTACACTTTCGGACGCACAAGCCTCAATTAAAATAAATGCTCTAACTATTTATGGTGCTTATCAAATTGCACTAGATAATGCTAGACCAGATATTCCAACTCCTTCTTCTTCTAGTTCTCAATCATCTAAAAGAACTGCAGGAGTAAGAGCACTTACTTCTTGGACCAAGTTCAGGGGTTCTCAAGGTTGTACCACTAGTGATTGTTCACAACCAAATGAGCTTGAAGTTTATTTGTCACAGGGACTTGAGCAGGAGAATCCCGACGGCTCATTTATTCTTTTAGAATGGTGGAAGGGCAAAGAAAAATACTTTCCGGTCCTTTCAAGGATGGTCCGAGATATTTTAACCATTCAAGCTTCAAAAGTGGCATCGGAGAGCGCTTTCAGTCAAGCAAGACTACAACTTGGTGATTAGAGCTTGGAAAAATCAGTACTTTTCAGAGATTGGATCCGTTCGGAACGAAGAAATTTTGGACTTGCTGAATCACAACCAGAGGTAGACGAAGCTTACGAAGAAATGCTAGCTGAACTTGCGGAGGAAGCAGCTTCGCCCGGAAGCGGTGATGAACAAGCTTCTTTTCCACCACCACCAACAGAAATTCCTCCGAACCTTGATGGATTTATAAAATTTGTAAGAGATACCATGTAAAATTAATATGTAATTTGTATTTTGGCACATCTTGATTAGTTTCTTTTTCTTCAGTATTAGCACCTTGGTTGTGCTCATTCCATTAGGGAGGGGGGTGGAAGCTAAGAAAGATTGGGCCATGTTTTCTTAATGTTATAATAATAAAAATTATAACGCATTCCTTTGAATATCTTTTTACAATATTTTGTGTTTTAAATTTGAATTAAAAAATTTTAAGTCACAATTATATAATATAATTTACAAGAAAATGCCTTAGATAAAAAATTTAAACAAATAAATAGCCCCACATATATATATATATATATATATATATATATATATATATATATATATATATATATATAAGCAATGTATAAAGTATATATATATTTATAGATATAGATATAGTATATATAATATATATAAGCTATATAATTTATAAGAAATTGCCTTAGATAAAATATTTTAAAAAAATAGTCAAGGCCCATTTAAGCCCGTTTAGGACCGGGCCCGGCCCGGCCCACATAGCCCGAGACCATTACTACACGCGGTTCCGGTCCCGATCTGGTTACACCCCAAAGCCCATGAAGCCCGGGTCCGTTTAAGCCCGGCCCACGAAGACCGAGTCTGTCTAAGTCCGGACCATTTAAGCCCGACTCGCGAAGCCCGCTTGGATCGGGCCCGGACCGTTTGCCAGCCTTATGGTAAACTAGCTATTAAAGATACAAAAGGTGTAAAACTAATTTTTGAGGTCCAGTTAGGTCCACTATCTTTTTTTGGGGGAAGTGCACGGTTAGCCACTAATAATACATGTATTTACTTTTAAGCCACTGTTTAAAATGTCTTTAGTCTTTAGCCACTGCTTTAATAAACTTTAACTGCCCGGACGAAAATACCCTTCTTCTCATGTGCTTAACTTTTGAACTTAACTTCAGGACATCAGGACTACATGTCCTTAACTTTTGAACTTGTAACCCTAAGTTCAGGACTTCAGGACTACATGTCCTTAACTTTTGAATTTGGAACTCTAAGTTCAGGACTTCAGGACTATATGTC